GCGCAGAGGAGCCGCGACGTGCCCGGCGGCCGCGCGAGCGATGCGCTGGCCGGGGAGCACCCGGGCCGCCGGCGTCTTTGAAACCGTGATTTCTTTCTATTTCTAAAACAGAACAAAACTCAGAAGGACGAGGGAGGACGGTGACAGCCGAGCCTGGGCTCTTCCTTGTTCACAGTGAATTTGGGGTGACGTAGGGATGGGGGAATCCCGCGCTCCCCCCGGGAGGTTTTCATTAAGAAAAAACAAACAATCAAACAAAAATCCCCAAAAACCCAAACACTTTGGCCTTGTTTGATCTCCCCTGCAAAGAAGCTTGCCCGCACCTGATTCAAAGCCCCAAAGCACAGTTTCGGGAAAGACAAAGAAAACCCCTTCCCTAGGGACAGCAGGGAGAAGAACAAAGAACCTCCTTGCTTAAAAATAAGGTCCAAGCCCCTTTCTCAGCGTCAGTGCCGCGGACGGGCTCTAAGGGCAGCCTGCGGGTACTCAACCGCGGCCCTGGCCGCGCTCACGTGCTCGTCTTGGCAGTGGCAACCTCGCGGCACGAGGTTTGGGCTCTCTGGGTGGTATTAGACCTCGTGAGATGCTACCGTAAATCAGAGCCTCCCCCGCCGAGCCGAAGCGGAGAGAGCGGGTTCTCCGTGACGGCTATGCCGGCTCTGAGCCCGAGGGGTCGTTGGGAGAACGGGGGAGAGGCGATTAGTTCCCTGAACGCTCCGTAGGGATCTGCCATCCCTGCTTGCCTTCCAAAAGGGAATCCACTCTCCAAACCAAAGGGGAGATCAGGAGATCAGCACTGCAGGTTCTCAGGACTGGATCGAACCCTTCCTCGCTACGAAGGGCCGGCTAAGGGGGACGGGAGAGGGCAGAGGAGAGCAGCGCTCGGGGTCAGCCCTGGTGCCGAGGGAGCAGGGCAATGGCACTTCACTCGGAGAAGATTGAAAAAAAGAAGAAGAAAAAAAAAAAAAGCCACACATTATTTGGAAGAATTGGGTTGGAGGCGAGCGCTTCTGGGGGCCGCGTCCCCCGCCGCCCCCCTTACTCTATCAGTTCCACGTAATTGGCAGGGAACATGCCGAAGTGGCCGTCGGGACCGTAACCACGCCACCAGCCTTCGTCGATCATCTCGATGTTGGTGATGATGTTCTCCGGATCGAACGAGATCTCCGTGTCATCAGCTGAAAGGGGACAGAGAGAAGGAGAAGGGAGGGCGTCAAAAGCTGCCCGAGCGCCCCAGCACTGCTGGAGACTCTCCCAACACACTGCCCTCCTCCAGGGACATCTTTGTGCCAGGTACATAACTCTCCCAGCCAGGGAGGAAAGGGGTCTAAGACATTCTTGGTTTTCCAGTTTGGCCAACTTCCCTCGGGCTGCGTCCCACCGGAGCCTTCTGCCTCTTGATAGCCATTTTTTGCAGCAGATCGGCATTTTTAAGGCAAGAGGAAACAACGGCAATTCAGATCCGCCACCGCTGTAAAATGCCATGGGTCCGGAAAATTAAAGGACGTGAAGATTTGGGCAAAACAGCCTCAGAGGCAGAAGGGCAGGAGGCAGAGTAGGGAAGCAAGAAAGGGATTTTAGGGAGCAGAAGGGAAGACATCGGACTCCTTCGCTTGCTTCTGCAGCGGAGCAGATGCCCTACGTAACAGCCTGCTGCGGGCTCGCCCAGCGTGAGGGGCAACGCGTTTTAATTTGGTCCATCTCTATAGCTGGGTCTAGCTGTCGTGAACAGACTGGGTCTAGCAAATACACCCACACCGACCCCGGTTCACAGGGAAAACCAAAGCTCTGTAGCTCATACCAGCTTGATAGTCATAGAGCGCCCGAGCGCACAGCCCCTTCCCCGTCAGGTCCGGCGTCTGCTGGTACTCAACAGGGTATTCGTATTTGGCATCGTCGACTTGTTCCTTGAGGAAGGAGAGAGGCACAAAGGGTGTTCATAGGGTGAACGACGCTGGGCCACCCAGCTCGCGCTTTGTTAGCCAAAACAAGGGTCTGTGGGTTGGGGAATCGCCCCACAAACCCACCGGGGACTGGGTAGGTAGCGGGGAAGTAGCACCGAACTGTTGCAACAAGATGAGGCAGAGCTCATCTTGCAAACCTCGGGGGAGAGCTCTGCAGGCATGTTCTGAACCCTCCGCTGCAAACGCTGACTGTCACAGCTGAGGTGCACGTCCCACATCAGCACTAGCGACTCAGCCCTGAAAAATCAGCCCCCCCGAGCCTTGGAGAACTGCGCGCATCAGATCCCAAACGCCCCAGCAGAATAAAAATGCCGGCTCTAGGAAGGCCATTACACGTGTCCAACAAAACGCCGCTGCCAGACGATGGAGGCGATGAACGCTTTAACTTAACAACTGCATCTCGCTGAAGAGCTGAGACACGAACACTCAAGTGAGCAACAAGAGGAAGTGTGGCACGGCGGAGATAGCCAGATACCGACCACCGTAACGGAGGTGGGGGCTGAGAGCGCTCCGGTTTTGCTCACAAACTTGCAGCAATTTGGCGGTGCCTCCTGCCTGGCAGCCAGCAACTGCTGCTTGGAGAGCAGGCGAGCGCGTTTGGACAAAATGGTGAAACGCCAGCATGAGGCACCGCTCCCTGCTAACCCCTCCTTGGCAAAACTCAGCAGGACGAACTTTTCCATGTCACCACAACCAGAAGAACCTTCAACCAGAACCAGACAACCCTTCAGGAAGCTGATACATATCCTCTGGGATTTTAACTGCAGACAGTGGTTCATTACCCCACTTTGAAGCCTCTTTCCTGTTTAAGCTGGACAAGCTCCAAATCCAGTTTTCCAAGCAACCCACACTAGATTACTGATGTGACTGCAAGGCTACTTATTTCCCTACCAACCCTATCTCCTAGTTGTGCAAAGAAAATCCAGGCCTGCTTCAGCCTCTCCAAGAAAGGCATTAATACCGCGTGACAGAGAGATCCCAAAGGGATTCTCTTGAGGCATCCTTCCAGTGCAAAACACCTCACTTGTTACTATTTTGCGACCTAAGCTGCTTTAAAATTGGCTGATTTTTTACCTCTGTTTCGCCCAGAAAGGCTTATGGCTTATGCAATTGTTCACTCGACCTCCTGTTCCTTTTGAACCAGCTGGACACTTTCAGATAAATTCAACAACTAGAGAATTAAGGCTGTTGGAAATGTTTACAGTTTTGTGGAGAGGGAAAAAAAGGGCAGCTGAATAGAGGACAGAAAACCAAATGGCTACCACATCCCCAAGAGAAATACTGCAGCATGAGACAAGCCCGTTATTAGGCACTGGAGAATCTGACAGCGCACGCTGAGAACAGCTAGGCTTTTTAGGCTCTGCTGTTTGTGGACGTGCCTGTTTGGAGCAGAAACTGCTTTGGCAAACATGCTCAAAGAGATTCTCCGCTCTTTACCCCTCCTCAAGGGCTCCAAGGAAACGTGCAGTAAAATCAGCCTAAGAAACCACACGGTTTAGATAACAGGATCGATAACAGGAGCTCAGCGTCAGCGGCTCTGGCTGTCACCATCAGGAAGCGATGCAACAGCCTCCCCTCGCCACACTCACGCACACCACAGTCGCAGCCCGAGCAGCTGGCTCCAGCCTGTGAATTCTGGGTTGGGTTTTTTCCTCCCTTTTTTTTTTTTTTTTGATTTGGTTTCCTACTGATTTTAGCACACGTAACTCGGCTCTGAGCACCAGTCAGAGGCTACATCTGCACCCAGAGAGATGAGATGCTTATACGAGGGTTCAAGACTTTATATAGAGTCCTAAAAGATAAAGTCATGCTTTATCTTTTATCTTATCATGCTTTATCTCTATCTAAAAAGAGATAAAGTCATGCTCCTTCGCACAAGGATCCCAGTGAGATCTCAGGTGCCCTTTTCACACCCAGGGCCCCGTAACCTCCCCTGCGTAACACCACCAACCTGGGGGGGTTCTTCATAGATGGCCGACTGGTCAGGCGGTTCCTCGTACAGGTCTGCCTCTTCCGCGCGGGAAACTGGCACGCTTGAACCATACCCATCGTCTTGCCCTGAGAAGAAACACGCAGTTATCTCACAAGGGCGATTCTGTCACCAAAACCTCACGCTGTCTCCTGAGTCCTCCCCACCAGGCTGAAGAGCCACCAAACTTCTTGCATGAGCTGGACGTTCATGACGCACCACCTGGGTCTCCTGCCCTGCAGAGGGGATGGGTTCATCAAGCGCAAACATGGAGACGGAGAGAGCACGGATTGAGGGAAAGATAAAAAGGACGAAGGAGAGATCCAGGATCTCCAAGGGGAAAGGGAATACGTTTGTTCAAGATTAACCTATGAACCAGTTTTTTTTTTTTCTAACAAGTAATCCTCCCTGTCCCAAAACACAGAAGACTAACGAACCAAGCTGGGACTCTGCTGCTTTGTGGCGAGCATCAAACCTGATGGAGAAGGATTGGCTCTATCCCTTCTGCCTCCCAGAGTCCCTGGGCAAGAGCAGCATCTAGCGGTGACTGCAATCCAAGGACAGCCGGAGCTCAGCAGTCCCTTGACTTGTCCCTGTGACCTAGTGGCCGGGAGTGGTGGTGGGGAGCACAACGTTACTGAGAAAGCAGTATCCAGCCAGCCTGAAACAACACTGGGTTTGTTTCACCAAAGGAAATTTGTTTCAGGCTGAAATATTTTGCTGAAGCAACCAAGCAGAGGGGTTTAGGTCTTTGGTTTTTAACCAAGAACATTTTGACTCATTTGGGAAACAGGAAAAAGAGAGTTTGGAGAGGCCTCCTGCCTGCTCCCACCTGCCCGAAGCAAAGCTCCAGAGCTGCCTTAGGACAGAGGGAAGCCAGCAGCCCGCCTAGCTGGGGACAAGCTGGGGACATTAAACCACACAGCCCTTCTAGAAGAAGAGGGACCCGCAGACCAGGCCTGCTCAGGCACTCTGCCTGCATGTGACCCATGGCGTGGTAGGAGACCCTCTGGATACAACCAACCCTTCTCCAGACTTGCTCTGCACGTCCAAACCACCAGAGATGCTCGAAAGGGGACATGACATCCCACCACGTGTAGAGAAAGCTCTTTGCAGCCTTGCTGCCACACAAACCCCGTGATCCTTCCAGCCCTCTTAGCACCCCAGCCCTGCTAGAGAGGGCAGCAACGCCCAGGTAGATGGAGCAGGCTGGGGCGCAGCACCCACTTGCAGCCCTTGGAGCTGTGCGCCCTGTATGAAGAACACATGAAAATCCTCTGGCCTCTACTGCAGCGGTTAAACTCAACCCCAACTACCTGCCCAAAACCAAATACAACTGCTAGAGCTGACTGCTGCAACTGCAGCTGACTGTCCAGAAGGAAATCACTGCTTGGGGCTAAAAAGCTTCCTTTGCTGGGTCTTGAAGACATTTTGGAAAGGGCCTGAACTTCAAAACTTTGTCCTTTGGTTCTGCAGCGAGAGCTCTGGACAGAGGCTTTGAGGGTGCACACGGTCCATAGGGCTGAATTTCATCATTTCAGCCAGGAGATGTCCTCATCCCCTTGGCTGCAGCATCTCCTAGTCAGTCCAAGAAGGAAATGAAGGGACCTCTCCACCAGGCAGCAATAACACACCTCATTTTCCAGTTTCGGGGTCACATTTAGACCTTACTGGCCCCTCCGGCACGAGACAAAGCATGCAGAGTCTCTGGCCTAAACGAGATTTGTCATGCAAAGACAGGGAAGGAACGGAAAGTCCCAGAGTGGCCTTAATATTTCCAGGTCCTATTTGAAGAGGCAAAGCGACAAGCTTTCTGTAAGCGAGGAAGCAAAGCAACACACCTGATGCAGGTACCGGAGAGGTTGGAGGCGTCTCCCGAGCAGAGGGGTGGGCGAAGGAGGGCGAAGGAGTGTCCCGCGCAGCCGACGAGACGGGAGAGGCAGGAGGTGGCACAGAGTTGATCTCCTTCTGAAGGAAGGGGCTGCGCAGCTTGCCTGGGAAGGAAGTCAAACAGGCTAAATGGGCGAGGGTCAAACGGCTCTCAGATTTTGGTTTGCAAGGGCATGCCGCAAGCGCTTCTCCGCTGGGCGCGTGAGGCTCGGCCGCTCGTGCCCTAGCCACACGGCTGCTCGTTATACAGTTTTGTCACCCGGTACCAGGGCACAACTCCAGGGTTACAGCCTGGCACCATCCATCACAGACATCCGTGAAGCTGCGGCCGTCCTAGGTGAGAAACACCCGAAAGAAGGGCATTTAGGGAGCCTCTCTCTGTGCCCCTCACGCAGGGCGCACACCGAGGTCTTGGGCGACACGTTTCTCCCCACGGGAACCCCTCGCAGCTCAGCGAAATGGTCCGCAGAGAGAACGGGCAGCCGCGTTTGCTATCTTCCCCGCCGGCTGCAGCAGCGCTGGGCGCACGGGGCTGTCTCGCCGCAG